TAAAGTTTATGTCACTATTACTATTTGAGTACTAAGTTAGTACTACTTATGTATTGTCTGGTATTGTTACTAATTTACATACCTTTCAACGGATATCATACTCCTCCCGTTAGGCATATCTTAATTGATTTTTGCCACGATTAGATGATATCCACATAGTGCGATTTCTTTGTTTCATGATGAAATGCGTGATGTCTTTGAACTTACAGATTAATCAAGTTCCTGGATAACTATATTCGACTTCTATTCTAGACCAAGCCTTTCAGTATTTTTGCGCCAAATGAGAACTTAAATAACAATTAATCGATCGCTCGTAGCGAATTCGAGTTACTGATTGTGCCAATGACTATGGAAAAACCTGTTAAAAAGCGTATAACTATTACTAATGAGCAGGACAACAGATAGGTTTATTACAAACTGAGGCACACGGTAAATAAGACCCTCTCACACCCAAGCGATAAATTCAGCCAGGTACAAACCCGAGAGAAGGCAGACGGTAAGACCTATCCTCGTACCTTAGGCATGATATTCACCAAGGTTCCCAAGATGAGCAAGAGGCAGAAGGTAAGACCTACACTCACACCTTATTCATATTCGCAAACCAGGGTTTACAAGATGAGCATGCGGCATAAATCCTCCCTCATACCTACGCAGACACCGCTATTATCAAATACGACTTAATATAATAGTAATAGACAATTCATTATTGTTGGAAATTCTTTCGAATATCTTACGTAGGCTAAGAGAGCCCGATACCGAGCCAACAATGAGTCATTACTCACTAAGTCAGGCTAGCCATGTACACAGACCGTTATATCTCAACTGCTATTGTATCATTTCTGCAGCGTTGCCGATACTAAATCTGACTAAACTACACATGAAGGTGTACTTTATGGTCACAAGATCGAATTTCTTTTTACTGAGGCTACTGCAAATGCCTAAAATTTCTACATTATCAACTATAATTATAGTTTCACAATTACAATCCACTATTATTCTACTTTCAGTCCATCGTTCCGGCGCTAACCGGTTGAGTACTATTCAAGAAGGGTCGGGTGGTAAAATTGTCAGCACCTGGGCTTGAACTCAACCACACTCTATCATTAGCTTTCATCTAGACTGATTTTTATATCTGTCACCATCACGTCAATTCTTAATTCGGGTGGTAGGGATAGTTTTACATATCTAGGTTGGAATCAAAATTTGGACGAAAAGTTTCCAGTTTTGAAAAGGCTAATCCATAAATCGAGAATTTACCAAGTAGGGTGGTATGTTGTGACTTTAACCTGGATACTCGAGGATAAAGTTTATGTCACTATTGCTATTTTTCGTACAAGGTGAATGTATCGATTTCTCTAATATATAAAAGGAACAAATTTTCAGTTCCGATATATAGAACTATTTATGTTATATAGACTACTCTGTTACAAGAGGAAGAGCGAGTTACCACTCACTGACCTCAGTAATAGGTCAACGTGGTCAGATGTAAAAGTAATATCTGATTGATTCATTTTGGTGATTGATACAAGATGTTTTTAATATAATATTTATATTTATTTCTTCGTAGTGTCTTATAAATGTAACTTAATAAATATATATTAATATTTTAGATAAACAATATTTTAGATGTACCAAAATGTCATGCCTTTTTATATGTTTAGATCCAATCTCATAATCTTAATATTATGAATTTATGATAATAAATTATGATGCCTTTGCACTTCACTTCTTATGATATGATTTGGCAATTACTTAGAAGGTCGAGTATGCCATTTGCGATCGAACAATTGCAACGTGTCATAACCTTTACTGTCATATCCTTTACTGCCATAACCTTTATTGCCATAACCTTGAAACCCATTAGTGTGAACCATACATTTTAGGTTACAACACAACGTACCTATTTAACGTATATCTACTTACATTGAAGCTTAAAGCTTTTACCATTCTGACATAAAGCTCTTGTCATGCTGACGTTACAGTTTATAACTCAAATTAAAAATGTATTGATTTCGGATTATAACATAATACGAAGAAGTGGAGTAATCAATAAACAAAGGATTTGCGACACTGTCACAAACAAGAACGTATATAAAGAACTAGATAATTATCATAGCTACATGAATAGGTTCCCAAACTAAAAGGGACAGACTTAATTATTATTACAATATACAACTTAATATATTAATCAGTATATCTACCTACTGGTTTGTAGGATTACTTTGGCTCATTGTGGTCACTCTGTTACTAGATAACTGGATCATTTCTTTATTCTGATACATAGTTACTTAATATATGACGTTACATAAGGTTCTTTTATACTTCAAGATGCCTTGAAGAATTTTCACTTCGGACAGACACTCGTGAGACATGATAATATGGCTTTATAAGAAAAGTCACATGACTAATGTCAGCACTACCTTTAGCTTATACTAATATATTAGAATATAGTACACATATTACTTCTTTAACTAATATAATACTTATTCACTATTATATAATAACCGGTCAAAACAATACAAAAAGAATGGTGACACAGAACGGTAGATGCCCAGATTACAAAAAAAGTCAGAAAATTGTTGGCACTATGGCCGAGTGGTTAAGGCGACAGACTTGAAATCTGTTGGGCTCTGCCCGCGCTGGTTCAAATCCTGCTGGTGTCGAATTTTTTGGTAATCTGAAAATTATCATCATTAAAGGATATACGTTAAATTTCAATTTACGATAGCTTGCTGGAGTATGTCAATTACATCATATATTTTATTTTTGGTAATTTAATTAAGGAAATCCACTTAAAAGAGGCTAAACAGATAGCACGTTTTTATGATGTACGCTATCAACACATACACTTCTCATTTTCAAATGAAATTGTGTCAAAAAACAAATCAAGACGATACAAGCCACAGGATTCCACTGTTCACCCACAAGGCAGATTGAGATATTAGATGGGTCAAAAAAAAAAGAATCTATCATGATTGTATACCGATAACTAACCAACTTAATAGATAATACCCTCACTTTAGGTTCTTTAACCATCCTGAGACAATGAATAAAAAATTCTTTTGATATCAGTAATGCTATTAATCTTAACGTTACACAACTTGATTCTACTTCACCCACAAAATAATGAAATAAAGTCCCTCTTTCTCTATCAAGGCTAGGGATTTGAGGAAAAAAAGAAACCTGTTAATTGTCTTTTCTTTTGACCACAAGAGCCCATGAGATAATCCGATATCCCATTTTTTTCCAATATTTCTTGTTTTGTCCCAAATTATTATCTCATCATTACAGAGGAAAAAATAGTCAAGGATCATCATTCGATATTGACCCAACATTCAATTTGGGCTAATTCCCTCAGCAACCACTCTTTCTGAAATTGAAACCAAACTTCCACTAATTTGACCCATCCCAAAATCAATACTTGCTTTAGCACACGTTAGAGAAATGAAATTTGCATGTTTTGGAAGCTTTGGGTCTTTGGGTCTTTGGGTCTTTGGGTCTTTGGGTCTTTGGGTCCTAATGTCTCTCTGTCTGTCTCTGACTCTACCTTCCCTTTTATTGCTACTGGAACTCCTTGCAAGTATTTTTTTGACCCACGTTGCAGCTTCCAGTAGTTTTGACCCTCTTGCTTATGTGGTGGCTAGTCTTGGGCATCCACTAATTGTACAGCCTAATTAAAAACAACAGTAAATTCCATAATTTTGAGCACTTCGAGCCATTTTTTATCCATTTTTTTGTCCCATCCGAAACAAAATACCAAATTGGGTCAGAGGTATCTCGCTTCCACTTTTCTTGACCCTCGCTTTTGTTCCTCCCCCCACGAGGTTCCTTAATACAATTGAAAATGAAAATTTAGGAAAAATTCTCGTTTCTTGAAGTTTTTCCGAATTTCTCCCACGTCGTTTCAGTGTGAAGAATCAGCGATCATGCAAGTTTTACTATCTTTCTTCTATTTGGTCCACTGATGGGCCAACTTTGTCTCGTTTCTCATATCGAAATTTATCCTCGTTTCCAAAACATATCTGTCTTGTTTTTCTCATTTCTTACAGAAACGCAGCAACGATTCTGTCTGTCTCCCTGACCCAGCATTTCAATTTTTTTTTTCTCTTTGTCTGCCACTGGTTATTCAAGAATCCCAGAAACCAGTTAACCCAACAACAGGAAACTAGCAGTAGCAGCAGCAGTAGAATCATTATTACTTTTTTTCTTTTATGAGGCAGATTAAAAGGCAAAAAAAAGAAAAAAAATTGTTAACGCAAAACAAAGAAACTGGGAATTCCTCTTGTTGACAACTAGCTGCAGGAGATGCACATGTATCAGACATCACAATCATTATTGCCTTCTTGGATCAATAATTGATCATTTATTTCTATTTTTTCTATCTGTCCCATTCGATACTGGCGACAGTTTTTTGTTTTTTGGGACCTCTACCCAGAGTGTTTCTTTTTCCTGTTTCTTGTTTTTATCGCTCGAGGGCTCAGCGGTTTGGCTGTTGTTGTGCTGCTGTTTCTTACATGTTATCAGTTCTAATTACGTAGAAGCGTTTCTTTTTATTATTTATTATCTATTATTTCATTCAGAAAAAGAAAAAAAAGTAAAGTATGGCCAAACTGAAAAGAAAATAAGGTGCTCGAGACGATGCTGGAAAAGAAACGAAACGAAGCGAAGTGTAGTTCGAGTCGTTCGTCATATGTATGTGACCCATATGGCTATCTATCTTAATAGCCTCATCGATAGGAAATGAAATGCACTATTGTTTTCTAGTAGAGATTTGTAGATTCTTTTTACTGATATGTTTTTTCTTATGTCAAATAGCCAACTTTTAGATTTAATTTACAATTTTAAAAATATATATAAGGGCATCAACCATTTAACTTTTTACAAATATTTTAATTTCATTTAATTTTATTTTATTATAATTCTATTTTATAAGTCATCTCATAAGATACCATCAAGTAATCAATTACTTTACTACAATAACAACTATTAATACATTAAACATGTCTATGACTCAAAAACCAGTTTCTTTGAAAGTTAACGCTGCTTTATTCGATGTCGATGGTACTATCATCATCTCTCAAGCCGCTATCGCTGCTTTCTGGAGAGATTTCGGTAAAGACAAACCATACTTTGATGCTGAACATGTCATCCACATCTCTCACGGTTGGAGAACTTACGATGCTATTGCCAAGTTTGCTCCAGATTTCGCTACTGAAGAATATGTCACCAAATTAGAAGGTGAAATCCCAGAAAAATACGGTGAACACTCTGTTGAAGTCCCAGGTGCCGTCAAGTTATGTAACCAGTTGAACAGTTTACCAAAGGAAAAATGGGCTGTTGCCACCTCCGGTACTTATGAAATGGCTCACAAATGGTTCGATATTTTAGGTATTAAAAGACCATCTTACTTCATCACTGCTAACGATGTTAAACAAGGTAAGCCACATCCAGAACCATACTTAAAGGGTAGAAACGGTTTAGGTTTCCCAATCAACGAACAACACCCAGCTGAATCTAAGGTCATTGTCTTTGAAGATGCTCCAGCTGGTATTGCTGCCGGTAAAGCTGCTGGTTGTAAGATTGTTGGTATTGCTACTACCTTCGACAAAGAATTTTTGATCGAAAAGGGTTGTGATATCATCGTCAAGAACCACGAATCCATCAGAGTTGGTGGTTACAACGCTGAAACCGATGAAGTCGAATTCATCTTCGATGAATACTTATACGCTAAGGATGACTTGTTAGAATGGTAATCATTTTAATGTCATTCCTTTATCTTCGATAGATTTATTTTTTACTTTTACCTTAAATGGCTGGCACTATTTTTTTATTATCTAATTTTTGATAGAACAAGAATAACAAAAATAACAAAAAAACTTTAGGATACATTTTTTTATATTTCATATATATTTTGATAGAACAATAATAATAATAAGCATAAAATTTTAACATTAAACATTTTATTTCTTTCATTAATCTTGAGCAAAGCATTTATAAAGGAGTTCCTATTTGGTCATCATATAGGTAACTGATTCATCTGTTGTGTGTGTATGTTTTTAATTGTAGCAAAAACATACAGGGGATATCTATTACCTAATACTGCATTAATTCCTGTACATATAGATAATGAAAGCACGTGACACAATATTAATCACATATATTCACATATTGTTATGTCTCAATAACTCATTACAATGACACGACAAGTAGATTGTGTATCAACTTGCCTTTGAAAAATATTATAGAGGCAATGAATTAGAGCCAGTACATATGTATATTATACCTATTTTGTAATTACTTGGGTACACCAAATACTTGCGCTGTCAACTTCCACCTGCCAACATTATTATGTTTAAAATTATCGATGATAAATTAACCACCAAAATTAAACTAAAACCTTTTAGATTTCAAGAAAATACGAACCTCTAGAAGTGATTTTGTTACTCCATTTGAAATACCTGTCTCTTAGTAATTATTTTAAATGCAAAAATCCAAAAGGCACTTAGTTTTCAGTTTCAGAAGTCATTAAAAATATGATCTCAATAAGGTCACTGTTTTTATAAATGTCTATTAATCAATATTATTTTTGTGATAACTAAAATTATAACTACTTTTCTTTTAGGTTAGTCAAGAATATTGTTGTCTTAATAAATAAACAAATAAGAGATCTTATTTGTTTGCTTTGACAAATGGAAATAAGTCTACTATTGGATTTTGAATGCTCTGCTATTTCATATTACTTATAAGAGGATTTAGTAACACTCTGGATTAATTTATTATTCTAATATCTGTAATTAATTTCAAATCAAAATTTGGTAGAAATGACTTCTTGAAGGATCTTAAATCAATTATCTCTAACAAAGTGCTTTAATAACAAATAATCATTTATAAAAATATTTAGAGCTTTTCATAAGTTTTCCTTCAGTAAATCTACCTAATCTATCACTATATTAATCAATACTTAAAAAATGACCATTACATCAAAAGTCTTGGCGAAGATGAGAAAATTACTCTTGACTTTTTTGAACCTAATAAAGTTCTGTAGTGAAGAAGAAAACTCAGTACGAGTCACTAGCAGATCAAAATCTTCCAAATAAATATTTAAATGTCATTTATTTTTATATGCTTGATGATTTTATTAAATTATATTACACTGAAAGTTATTATATACCGACAAAATTTTCTATAAGTAGATTCATTAATTATTACATGGTGATCGATATCTAGCGACCAAAATATTTAAGTTCAAGTGGTCTTACTAAATTGAAAACAATGAAAGCCCAACTCATACCTAACTCGAAACCAATATCACCACCACCTTTGTCACCAATTAATCTACCTAATTCACCAGTCCAGTATGTTTGGGACATACCCAATGCTACACCGACTGCACCAACGAATAAAGCAGAAGTACCGGCAATACCAATTGGTAATTTAGCTGGATTATTCCAATCTTCAACGTTGTAACCTTTGAAACCCTTTCTATAGATAAAATGTTCTGAACATGAGATAGCGACATAGATGGATAAATAATAACCAATAGAATTCATGAAATTTTCCATAAATGATTCGAATTTGTAAACTGCAGCAATAGAAATACCTAAAACAAATACGTTACCTAGTAAAGTCCAAATAACTCTTGGAATTTTAGCGAAACGATCCCATAAAGCTTGTACTGATAAAGCAATTGTATACATATTTGGAATGTTGTTAGCAACAGTTGACATTGCTAATACAACACAACAGAATTGACCGAAACCATGTAATGAATCTTCAACTAAAACTGCATAAGTTAAACCACCCATAGCATTTTCGTTATAATATTCCATCCATCTTGGATTGTTAACTGCACCCATACCAACGGCAGCACCCAAAATCATTGTAAATAACAATGGGAATAATAAACCGAAAGCTAGAGAGAAAAAGATTTTAAATTTATTTGTATTTCTTGGCATGTAGACTGTGTAATCTGCTGCATAAGTAGTCCAACCAGCAGCAAAACCATAGACAGCACAACCAAATGATAAGACACCAGCTGCTGTATTAGCACCACCATTCCAAGGACCATTAGAAAATTGACCAGAAATTTTCATACGTGCAATGATGACTAAGAAGACAGCAAAATTTGGTACCCAAGACCATTTTTCATAGGCATGAATGACGTTATAACCAAAGAATGAAATTAAAACTGTACCGATTACAATGATCAAACAACCAGCCCAAAGAGGCATTTGGTGTGGAGAGTTAACCTCATTTAATAATTGAGCTGAGACGACAGTATTAACAACACCCCAACCAATACAAGCAATAATATTAATAATTGCAAAAATTCTTGCAGTAATATTACCACATAAATAACGAGTTAAAACCATCTGTCTTAAACCGAATTCTGCACCAAATACAGAGAAGAATGCGACTGAACTCATACCTAGAATATTGAAGAAGAAAATAGTTAAAACAGAAGTACCAAAGTTCAAACCGTAAATAACAGGACCTAAAGCACCCAATGCATAAGAAGCAATAACCATATTTGCGGAAAACCACATTGAAGCTGCATTGATAATCGAATCATCAGTCTTTTCTTCGTCAGTGACAGGTTCGATACCTTTTGCTTCAGCATTAACGACAGCAGCTAATCTGCTGAAAAAGGATAACTTTGTTTCTTCCACCGATTCCTCACCAGAGAATTCATTATATTCCTCTTCATATGCATCTATATCATTTGTAGATGCCTTGAAGTCTCTTTTATTTAGCTCATAACCTTCAACTTCATACTCATAATCTTTACTCCCACTAGAGTTTTCCATATTGAAATAGGATAAGGGATATATGTAATTTGAATATTAAATAAAACGACGTAAATTCAATAAGTATCTTTATATGTCTACAATACTTTTCCAATCCCTTGACTCAGAAAGAGTATGTGTGCGAGAGAGATCGAGATCTGGTATGTACGGTGACCAATGTGTAGTTATATGAATAACTCTTGCTCCCAATCAATCCAAAGATATAGGAAAATTCAAGGAAATAAAATTGTATCTTCAAGAGTATCAATAAATTATAATCACATCCTTATATATATAATTAAAAGGATGGCTTGAACTTGAACTGGGTTCAGCTCATCTCTAACTCATCGAATCAAACTATCTTTACAAATATTTTCACTTAGCTCTCTGTACTGAAAAATTATTCACCTGTTTCTTTTTTTTCTTTCTTATTTTTAACAGCAAGATTTGTAACAGAACTTGTTACTGCTGCTCATGTAAGGTGCCTCACCTCCCAAAATCTGGCTCTTGCTCTTCGAGTAGAGTAGAGTAGAGTATATTAGAAGTGGAAGTAGAGTTTGATCGAATCGAATTGAATTTAATCCAATCCGATTTAATTCATTCCACACCAGGCCGTTGCAGTCAACACAGTCGACTAAAAGTTCATCAAAGTGAGATAACATCGTAAGAGCAAACAAGCAATCGTTAGGCAGAGTTAAACTGAAAAAGAGAGACAAAGTCCAGGTAAGCACATTATGATCAGAATTAAGAAGACATTTTGACTTGGGTGATGAATGAATAGTTAAATGGTGAGGCAACCAGACGAGAATTCAAGTACAAGCAAGATAGTTGGTGATGATGAGTCTATCATCAGCATCTGTTCAAAGAATGCTAAGTAGATAAATAGGCGATAGAGATGAGATTAGATTTAGTAAGTAACATTTTAAAATTAGATGGCTAATTTTAAAAATTTGACTTGACTTTGTTAGGAATTTGATTTCTTTTGCCGTTATAGTGTTATTTGCTGCATGGAAGTTGGGTCACTGTTTCTTCTTATCGATTAGGCCATTGATTGTTTGATTAGTAGTCTTTCTTTTTCGATTGTAATTGTAGTTGTTTATGAAGATGTCTTGCAGTTTAGGATCATGAAATAATGTTATTAAAATAGTGTTGGTGATAATGATGGATAATGACGGATAGTGCCCCCTTGTTCTGCTTTACCACCTCTTCTCTATTTTTATCTAAATTCTTATCGATTGACTTGGCTAGTTCAAGTAAGTTGTTGTTAGTATTCCCGGGTCATTCTAGTGTATTTCTGTTTTTTTCTTTTACTGCGTTTTTCCAGTTTTTCCAGTTTCTTAATTACATTATATTGCCTGTTTAATTTAATTTTTTCATCTTATGGTTTAGTTGTATTACTTGATTAATTTGTGTTTATCTGTAAAAGACTCTATTCTATTCACACTGTTACTTTTTAGCATCCAGTATGAGTAAATAAATATTGTTGTTTGGTTTTTGGTAACGTGACTTGTTGTAACTTATATTAATTATTTACAGAAATTATATATACATAAATACAAATACAATTATAGATGTTAGTGACAGCATCTTTTGAAAAGAGTTTATGGATATGGGTAATAGTTGACTACCATGGGGAATCCTTGTTAATCTTTCGAAGGTTCCTTCGTGATCTCTCCAGATAAGGGTTGTATAGCCTCATATTTCTTCCTTAATTCTTGCTGTAATTCATGATCTGTCTTATTAAATAATCGCTTACGTTCCTTTTCTTGTAATTCTTGTTCTTTTTGTAGTTTCTTTTCTGCTACCCTTTTAGCATCTTTAATAGGACCTTGCATCAATGCTTCTCTCTCCATATTTTGCAAAAGATGTACTCCTACAATAGTGCATCCTGTAAGTAAGCATGATAAACCCAATGTTATTTTACTTGCTCTACTCATTACAATTCCAACACTCGCTTTACACAATTCTTTCCTACCTTGGATCCGATGAATCTTGTCAATCCAGGCTGAAAGAAACACCTTTTCTCATAAACATCCCTCTATGTTTCAAATCTATAGTTAAATACAACTCGTAATTGATATTTACTCATTGATTAAATTTTCACTTTTCCCTATTTTACCGTGAAAATTTAGCCTTAATCGAAATAATTAAATCCTTATATATAAAAGTATATTCGCACATGTAAAATAGGTATAACGTATATATCAATTGACCTATACCTACCTAGAGATCAAGATCGAATTGTAACTACAATTGGAATAATATAAAAAAAATGGTTGAAACAACATCTGTCTTTTGTCCTGATGCCCCACCACCAGCTGCTTCATATTCCCATGCTGTTAAGGCAAATGGTATGATTTATGTATCTGGTCAAATTCCATATACTAAAGAAAATAAACCAATTGGTGGTACAGTTAGTGATCAGGCAGAACAGATGATTCAAAATGTTAAAAATATTTTAGAATCTGCCAACTCTTCATTGAACAAGATTGTTAAAGTTAATGTATTTTTAACAGATATGAATCATTTCCAAGAATTCAATGTAGTTTATGCCAAGTACTTCAGTGAACATAAACCTGCAAGATCTTGTGTCGCTGTAGCTGCATTGCCTTTAGACAACATAATGGAAATGGAAGTTGTTGCTGTTGAAAATTAATTTTAATTTAAATATTAATTCTAGTAAGGGCATATCACAACTGTCACCATTTACATTTACTTTTACATTTTACATCTAAATATACATATATTTATATACATAAGTGCAGAATCATGTCTAATATAATACACATCATTCATTAAATCTTTGGATAGAGAAGCATTACTAGAAGATAACATGTCCTTCATTGTACCCACTTGACTCAAATATCTTAACCATCCAGTACCTTATGCAGATGAAGAAGGTCACAAATTGTAGTGGAGGATAGATTGCTCTATCTGAACCACCCATAGATCACATGATCGTACACTACAATTACAAGTGACTACAATACCAAACAATGTGTGGGTGCTAGATGTGTGGGTGTACTGCACAACAATCATTTTTTCTTGGTTGGCGCAGAGTAATTAGTTTCCAAAAAAACCAAAAATACCAAGAAACCAAGAAAAAAGTAAGAGCGATGACGGTGGATCGGGATTGTTTTTCTAGAAGGAGAGACCGTCCTATTTTTCCTTCTGAGCTGTGAAGAGGAAACTAACGCGTTCCCGTCTACCAAGTGACCATTACAACAAGAGTATTAGGGAGAAGCGAATTGGAATTGTGTTTATTTCCCACTCCCGTGTAGCTGGGATTCTCTGTCTGTCGAGGCCTGAAATATTTTTATTTTCAATGAGAGAGGAACCCAAGCGACGCACATTTCGAAACCGAGACACTCATCTCAATGTTGAAATTTCACTTTGCTTCTCTGGATGCTTCTCAGTGAATTGGACGCGAAGCAATAGCAAAAGTGAAACTTTCCAAAGCTCATCGACTGAATGAGCGTAATCGATTCACTAATTGATAGCTATAACATCTTTTACTACTGTTGAAACTTTTTTTCTTGCATCAACCTTAAGCTATTCTAGTTAGTGTGAGAAATGGTGAGAACTCAAGCAATACTACAGCCAAAACTTCAATCCTGATTATAATACTTCCAATGAATGCTGTTTGTTTGCAATCCAATCCAACTTGCAATTATCCCAATCAAATGCATCCTCTGTCTGTCTGTCTATCTGCCTCTCAAACCCACGACGCTCTAGTAACCAAACCATAGTTAGATATCGTGGTAATTGCAATAGTACTTTGCTTTGAAACTTTTCAATTGATGAATGAAACTAACTTCTATCCAATTCCATTCTGATAGTTTAGTTTGCTATACTGAATGAATGAATTAGATGATGAGGATGAGGAAGAGCTCTGGATGGCGATGTGTGATACACCAACATACTATTAACTATCATCAATTTTCATTGTCCACTATGGAAAATTGGTTTGGCCTACAGNTCTGTTCCTATCAAACTAGTTCTCAAAATTTGTCTTTTCTCTCTAGTTAACTACTGGTAATCTATCTATCTAAGGGTCTATCTTGGTAAATAAAATATCTATTATATCAAGAGGTAGGGGAAATTGGAAGTATTTCCTATTGGTATACTTGTCCAATTATAAGAACTCAGCAGAAGGACTTCCCAGATGCCCTCACGGGTTACTTTCAAAAGAAAAACCACGGGTGTAATTGGATTTGTTAATTTAAAAGCAATTAAAGGGAAGGCTGAAAGAAATGGTTTAATCCTTTCGGATATTAAGAAATTACGGGTTGAAAATCCTCTCCAAATTTGGAAATGTTTATAAAAATTTTTTTTTCTTTCCAACAGAAAAAGAACATTTAGAGGTTCTTTTACCCAAGGTTAGCCCGAAGAATTATCCTCAGGGGGAAACCAGAGCTGTGCCACACCAAACAGATTCCACCCGCACAAT